AGTTCAGTATTATAGTGTAAGAATGACTACATATCCACGTGTTCTGGTCTACTAATAATAACATTATAATCAAAAAACACTTTTTAAAGGAGTATTTACCAGAAATGTTATTTACCAGAATTTATTTAGGAGAAAAATGTAAATGTGCAGTATTTCTGAAAAAAAAAATACGATAAAAAAAAAAAAAAATAAAATTAATTAATTGGAGATGCTTTTGATTATTACAATTTAATGGAATCCAGAAAATAATGGAAAACTGCATTTGGTAAAGATAAAACTGTAAAACTCAATTAATTAGACAGGCTTTTTGATTAATAAAATTTTATTTAACCATTAAAACAGAGTATAGAAAAATGAAAATGGAAAAAACTGAATTTGGAAATAAAACGTATTTCATAGGGCCCTATAATTATAATACGTTTTTTTGTGGTAATAAAAATAGATGTAAGTGAACAATAGCCTTTAAAATGACTTAAAATACATGTATAATAGCAATGAGGCAATAATAATTAGTTCAAATAAAGTATCAAAAGCAAGAAATCATATGGTTTTATTGAACAAAACTGTTAAAATACATAATGTATTATATACAATAGAGCTAATGTACATTACGCATTACAACAAAGGCCTGCAGAGGGCGCCAACGGCCTGACGATTGTTTTTACACGTTACTGTGCGATCTAATCCTTGTTTAATATTGATCAAGCACCTTTTAATTCAAATGTCCACTTAATCTTTAATATTTGGCCATTTCTTTAGGACAGAAATGTTGTGGAACTACTGTGAACCGAGCCGCTGTGTGACGCACATACTTAACCTACACGCATGTAAATAATTAAAGCGCATATACTGTATTAGAACTATAATTATTTAATTAAACCGTAACGTTTGTGAATTCACAATTATGTTTAATTATGATTTTTAAATGGGTTTAATATATCATGCAGCCTTGGGAAACAGTCTAATAATGTGTTTTATGGATTCTCGTGCGTGAAATGCGCCACTTCCAGTATTTTGCCGGTTAGTCGACGTGAGCAAAATGAAGTCGAGGATTTTTAAAAATAGAATAGTCGAATAAAATCGACGAATCGCGACAGCCCTAGTCTGTGTGTGCATGCATATATCATTTAATTAATTTTTTTATATTTAAAATTTTAAAAATAAAAAAGATATTGTTAAAAATATATATATTTATTTGTTTGTTTGTTTTTTTGTAGATGCACACACTTTTATTTTTTGTGCATTTTTATGTATATTTGCGTCTGTGTGTGCATGCATATATAATTTCATTTATTTTTTTATATTTAAATTGTTAAAAATAAAAAATAAATCTATTTATTTGGTTTTTTTTGTAGATGCACACACTTTTATTTTTTGTGCATTTTTATATATATTTGTGTCTGTGTGTGTAAGCATATATAATTAATTTTTTTTATATATATTTAAATTGTTAAAGATATAAAAAGATATTGTTAAAAAATTATTTATTTGTTTGTTTTTTTGTAGATGTACACACTTATTTTTTGTGTATTTTTATGTATATTTGTGTCTGTGTGTGCATGCATGTATCATTAAAAAAAAATTTTTATATTTAAATTGTTAAAAATAAAAAAGATATTGTTAAAAAAATATTTATTTATTTGTTTGTTTGTTTTTTTGTAGATGCACACACTTTTATTTTTTGTGCATTTTTATATATATTTGTATCTGTGTGTGCATGCATATATAATTTAATTTATTTTTTATATTTAAATTGTTAAAAATAAAAAAAGATATTGTTAAAAAAAATTATTTATTTGTTTGTTTGTAGATGCACACACTTTTATTTTTTGTGCATTTTTATATATATTTGTGTCTGTGTGTGCATGCATATAGAATTTAATTTATTTTTTATATTTAAATTGTTAAAAATAAAAAATATATCGTTGATAAAAAAATTTATTTATTTATTTGGGGTTTTTTTTTTGTAGATGCACACACTTTTATTTTTTGTGCATTTTTATGTATATTTGTGTCTGTATGTGCATGCATATATAATTTAAAAAAAAATTATATTTATATTTAAATTGTTAAAAATACAAAAGTCAAAAAAAAAATCTATTTGTTTATTTGTTTTAGTTGTTTTATCTCATATGGTCGGGCAGTTTTATGTGCTCAGTAACTCTAAACTGAAGAACGTCATGATTTTTCCTAATAAGCGAGAGCAGTGCTCTAACACTGATTTCAGATCAGTAGTTTGATTTGTAGGATGTGCTTTTATTTCTCGTCTCTTGTTTTCTTTCCTCATCACGTCCCTGTTCTCAGGCACAGAATTAATAATGACTTCCTGAATTCGTACCGTCACTTTTGGCTGAACAGAATTCAGGCGAGTTCTGACCGTGACGGTCTGCTGGCTGTGCTGACGGTAACGTAACGCTCAGAAAGCGCTTGCTTTGCTCTCTCAAACTCCCGATGAGCAGCCAGATGCACCATAACTAACTAACTAACTAACTAACTAACCCTCCAGCTCCTCCTGTTTCCCAGGCTGCTCCCTGCTAACCGTGTCTGCTCTCTCCGTCTCAGGCATCGCTCTATTAACCTGTTCCTCACGGGCTACCAGCGGCTCTGGATCGAGGCAGAGATGTACTCGTTTGAGGAGAAGCTAGTGCAGGATCTGGCTGTAAGTAATGATCTGGTCTGAGGTCAGCCGCTGGGTTCCACACTGGACTGGTTTTCTGTCTGTTGCTCTGAGCGCAGCTGCTGCTAAAAGACGACTCGATAAACTCGATAAAAGACGAATCAGTAAACTAGATATGCGCTGATGACAGAAAATATTTTATCTTTTTTAGTAAGAGTTTTGATTATTTTTATTTTAAAATTATGCATTTTTTATTTTACGTTTGATTATTATTAGCTCATAATCAATGTAAAATTGAAATAAAATAAAAAATGTATTTAAGTTAATTGTTTTATTTTCATGAGTTTTTATTTTTAATTTATGTTCATTTTACATTATTTGCACACCTTTTTTTGTCAGGTCAGTGTATAATCCTGGTATATAAAGCAGTGTATTATTTATATACACTGCTGTTCAAAAGTTTGGGATCAGAACGATTTTTAATGTTTTTTACAGGAGTCTCTTCTGCTCATCAAGGCTGCATTTATTTGATAAAAAATACAGGAAAAAATGTAATATTGTGAAATATTATTATGATGTAAAATAACAATTTTCTATTTTAATATACATTAAGCTGTAATTTATTTCTGTGATCAAAGCTGTATTTTCAGCATCATTACTCCAGTCTTCAGTGTCACATGATCTTCAGAAATCAGCTTTTACCATTTTTATTAGTTTTTGTTTGTATTATTAGCATTTATTTAACTTCAACTTTGTTCAAATTTTTCCATCTAATTTTTATTGTCAGTGTGAACACACTGATCGCACTTATTATACTACAAAAGGGCATAGAATTTATAGAATGCTCTATCCATAAACGCTCAAACTGTGGTGTTTCCTTTTCCTGTTCAGGTCTTTATTTCCTGCACTGATGAATGCTGGTTCTGTTCAGCGCATTAATGCTTTACCTGCTGAAAGCAGCTCAGCTGATCATCACTAACTCTGCAGCTGCATGACGGTCATTTCACACGTACTAATGCAGTACTGCGATTCACAAACTTCAGCTGAACCCGTTTGACCCAGAACATATTTACTTGAAGTCCCTTTAAGTGAATAATTCCATTTTTAACAAGACATTTGCATGTTCAAGGTTCTCTCGTGTGTCTTAATGGTCACATGACATGCAAATAAACAAATAAAATATTTTATCTTTTTAGTAGGTGTTTTATTTGAATTGCTTTGATTGAAACAATCAAAATAAAACACTTGCTAATAATTAAATCATAAACATGTACAATTAAAATTAATTTTTAAATATATATTTTTTATTTTAATTGTACGTTTTTATTAATTAATTAAATAATTATTAGTTTTCATCTGTTCACGAACCCCAGCTTGGGAAACCATGTACTAAGGTATGATGCTGTTGAAGTACCATGTAATCATATCAAAGTACTATGGTATCAACGTCTGACAGCCTTACCGTACCATGGTACCACCACAGTACTTTACTGTAGTGGTGTTCTGTGCACGTCATCATAACATATAGAGATACAGTGATCGACAGTCATACAGGCTGAGATGAGCGGATTCACTGACGGCTGATCTGTGAGAGACAAGTGAGATGTGCTGATAGAGCATCACTGTGGCTATTTAGCTGATATTAAACATGATTGAAGTGTCTCATGTTTGTGTGTGTGTGTGTGTGTGTGTGTGTGTGTGAAGAAGACTCAGCCGAAGACTGATGAAGAGGAGGAGGAGATCACAGACACTCAGCCGGACCCTCTTCATCAACTCATCCTGCACTTCAGTCACAACGCACTGACAGAACGCAGGTGAACACACACACACACACTCTCTCATTGACAAAATGCAGGTGAGCACACACACACACACTCTCAGGGCTGGCGCTACCTATAGGCAGAGCAGGCAGTTGCCTAGAGCCTCTGGCTTTGAGGCGGGGCCTCCATAACCATAACACCCCCTATACGCTTATACTGCTTATACTCATCAAGCCTGCATATATTTAAACAAAAATACAGAAAAAAACTGTGATATTCAGCACAGATGTTAAATTGATTTAAAAAAGTGATAGTAAAGACTGATATTATTTTAATAATCAAAAATATCCTGAAAAAAGTATCTCAGGTTATAAAATAATTATTAAGTAAAAATAAATACACACTCGCACTAATGCACCCTCACTTACACTCACACTAATGCACGCTCAAACACAAACATTCACTCACGCTCACACACTCACTCGTACTAATGCACGCTCACACACTAACACTCATTCACGCTCACACACTCACTCGCACTAATGCACTCTCACTTACGCTCACACACACTTGCACTAATGCAGGCTCACACTCTAACACTCACGCTCACACACTCACTCGCACTAATGCACTCTCACTTACGCTCACACACACTTGCACTAATGCAGGCTCACACTCTAACACTCACGCTCACACACTCACTCGCACTAATGCACTCTCACGCTCACACACACTTGCACTAATGCAGGCTCACACTCTAACACTCACGCTCACACACTCACTCGCACTAATGCACTCTCACTTACGCTCACACACACTTGCACTAATGCAGGCTCACACTCTAACACTCACGCACACACACTCACTCACACTAATGCACACTCACACACAAACATTCACTCACTCACTCACGCACACACACTCACTCACACTAATGCACGCTCACACACAAACACTCACTCACTCACGCACACACACTCACTCACACTAATGCACGCTCACACACAAACATTCACTCACTCACGCACACACACTCACTCACACTAATGCACGCTCAAACACTCATTCACGCACGCACACACTCACTCACACTAATGCACGCTCACATACAAACACTCATTCACGCACACACACTCACTCACACTAATGCATGCTCACACACTAACACTCACTCATGCTCACACACTCACTTGCACTAATGCACGCTCACACACTTAGTCGCACTAATGCACGCTCACACACTAACACTCACTCACGCTCACACACTCACTCGCACTAATGCACTCTCACTTACGCTCACACACACTTGCACTAATGCAGGCTCACACATTAACACTCACGCACACACACTCACTCACACTAATGCACACTCACACACGAACACTCACGCACACACACTCACTGACACTAATGCACGCTCACACACTCACTCGCACTAATGCACTCTCACTTACGCTCACACACTTGCACTAATGCAGGCTCACACACTAACACTTACACTCCCACACTCACTCGCACTAATGCATGCTCAGACACACTCGCACTAATGCACTCTCACTCACGCACGCTCACACACACTCGCACTAATGCACGCTCACACACACATGCACTAATGCACGCTCACACACACATGCACTAATGCACACTCACACACTAACACTCACTCACGCTCACACACTCACTCTCGATAATGCACAGTCACACACTAACACTCACTCACGTTCACACACTCACTCACACTAATGCACGCTCACACTTACACTCACTCACGCTCACACACTTGCACTCACGCATGCTCACACATGCTCGCTCACTCACACTAATGCACACTCACACTTGCTCACACTCTCACTCGCACTCACAGAAACTAACTCACACTTATGCACACTCACACTTGCACTCATGCATGCTTGCGCTCATACACACTAACACTCACACACTCACGTTCACACAATCACGCGCACACACTCTCACTCTCTCACACACACACACACACAGACACCAGACTCTCGTCTGAGCTGGAGAATAGGATCTTTAGTTCTTTTGTCAGGATAAATGTAATGATCTGTTTGATGTGTGATATGGAGTGTGATCTGGTTTCAGCTCTCTAGAGGAGGATCAGCTGTACATCGCATACGCAGACATGATGGCAAAGGTGTGTGTGTCATGAAATCATCAGATTATCAATCTGTCCCGCTTACTCGATCATAGACAATGTAATCAATTCATATACATAACTTAATATACAATATAATATATATGAAATAATATATAATGAATATACATTAAAATCAGTTAATATTCATAGAATAGTATACAAATTATTTACATCAACACATTTTGTGTTAACGTGTGGTAAACGCATGTAATTGTGGCGTGACGCTGTTCTTCATCTGTAGAGCTGTGCTGAAAATGAGGAAGAGGATGAGGAAGGAAAAGAGAAAACATTTGAGGTGAGCAGAGACTAAATATGACACTTAGATCAGACAAATGGGGAGACCTTCAGAACCTGATGTGTGTGTGCGTGTGTTTGTGTGTGTGCGTGTGTGCGTGTGTGTGTGTGTGTGTGTGTGTGTGTGAGATCAGGAGAAAGAGATGGAGAAGCAGAAGACTCTGTACCAACAGGCCCGACTCCATGACAGAGGAGCAGCAGAGATGGTCTTACAGATGATCAGCGCTAGTAAAGGTACACACACACACACACACGCACACGGACTCTGAGCGATCATCATCACTGAGTGTGTGTTTGATCGTGTTTCAGGTCATTTGGGTCCGATGGTCACGTTCACGCTGAAGCTCGGCATCTCCATTCTCAACGGCGGAAACATCACAGTCCAGCAGGTGCGTCACTGGAGACTTTTGTCATCATGAACACATTTATTCAGGTACTGTTTCACTGCCCAATCACATGAGTGATTCACAATCATTTCTACGGCACAGAAAATGCTGGACTATCTGAAGGAGAAGCGAGATGTGGGTTTCTTCAAGAGTCTGTCAGGACTGATGCAGTCGTGCAGGTGATCGCTGGTTCTCTCACTAGTGTTTTATAACTCACTGAATGCGTTTACATGCACATCAAATGACATTTTCAACTCTACAGGTGCATCTCAATAAATTAGAATGTCGTGGAAAAGTTCATTTATTTCAGTAATTCAACTCAAATTGTGAAACTCGTGTATTAAATAAATTCAGTGCACACAGACTGAAGTAGTTTAGACTTAAACTACTTCAGTCTGTGTGCATTGAATTTATTTAATACACGAGTTTCACAATTTGAGTTGAATTACTGAAATAAATGAACTTTTCCACGACATTCTAATTTATTGAGATGCACCTGTATATTCAGATTTCAGCCATATTCTGAATATTATGTTTATACAGTATGTGTACATGCATGTATATTTTTTTTTGATTGTTTTTATTCAAAAATTATTTATTTTAATTTAACATTTTGTATTTAATTAAACAAGTGTTTTATTTTGATTATTTTAATTGTAAAATTATATATTGTACATTTGTATGATTTAATGAATTATTGTTTTATTTGGATTGTTTTTATTTTAAAATTATTTATTTTAATTGCATTTTATTTAATTATTAGGAAATGCTTTATTTTAAAGTTTTTATTTTAAAATTATTTTAATTTAACATTATTTATTTAATCATGTGTTTTATTTTGATTTGTTTTAATTTTTAAAATAATATATTGTACATTTGTATGATTTAATGAATTATTGTTTTATTTAGATTGTTTGTATTTTACTTAATTATTAGAATTTTTTAACTATTTAAATGTTTAGATTATATATTTTAATTGTAATTTTTTACGATTTAATTAATTCTTAGTATTTTTTTTTTTTTTTTTTGAGTTGTTTTTGTTTAAAAATAATTTCCCGGGAGATTTCAGATGCTGCTGTTGGCATGTATTTGCTCAGTTATTAGTTTGATTACTACTTGTAATAATTTAATTAGGACACCAACACTTCTCACCTTAAAAAATGTCAGGCAATGCTGACACTAAATTGAAAGGGTCAGACAGTATATAATAATAATCATTAATATAGTTTTTTTTAATATATAATTCTGTTTAAAAATAAGTCTTGTTGTCACTCCAGAAATGCATTTAGTGTGAGTTTCTGTTACTAAATATCTAGTCTGTTAGCACCCATAATTCCTTGCGGTCTGAGCATGTGCATATATTTCTGTTCAGTGGACTTTCTGAATAAGGTGTTTCAATGCAACACATGTCCCATTAAAACATGCAAGGAATTTGGGGAATCAGAATACTGCATTTAAATGAATGGTGCAATCAGATTGTGTCATTTACGTGACTGAATATTGCCAAATTCAGATATTGATGTGCATGTAAATGTAGTCAATGAATGTGATTCAGTGTTATTCACGTATATGCATTTAGCGGATGCTTTTATCCAAAGCGACTTACAGAAGTCTGTGTGTGTGCAGTGTTTTGGATCTGAACGCGTTCGAGCGTCAGAATAAGGCCGAGGGTTTGGGGATGGTGACTGAGGAAGGCTCCAGTAAGTCTCTCACACACACATTCATATGATGATCTGATGAGAGCGAGAGAAACTCTTACAATCACACCATCATTACATCATCTCATACTGCACTGTGATCATCACTGATGCACTAAACAACATGCACATAATGCTTTTATTCATCAGGGATGCATTAAATTGATCAAAAGTGACAGTAAAGACATTTCTAATGTTACAGATGATTTCTATTTCAAATAAATGCTGTTCTTTTGAACTTTCTATTCATCTGTGAATTATTACAGTTTAACAGATACTCACATAGAAAACAGCTGTTTTAAACTGTAATAATATTTCACTATTTTTACTGTATTTTGATCAGATAAAATGCAATTAGACATAGAAACATATTTTGTTAACACTTCATATTTGAAGGTTACATGCACTTTTTATAGCAATAGAAGTAAATTATGCGTAATTACATGCAAATAACCCTAAACCAAATCCTAAGCCTATAGTAAGTACATGTTATTAAATAATATTACTCTGTACCTAATTGTATAATCACACTGTAACAAGGACTGTAACAATACATTTCGGTGAGTAATTATATATATAAGTACTGAGTTATATTAATTAACTACATGTGCTTATTATAAGGTTAGGGTTTGGCTTAGGGTTACTTGCATGTAATTATGCATGATTAATTGTTATTATAATAGTAAGTACATGTGGCATGTGTAACAAGGACAGCTTAAAATAAAGTGCTACCTACATTTCTGAATAAATGACAAAAAAAACAGCAAATAACTGTTGAAGTTGTGAAATTGTATTTATTTATAGTATTTTATGCCACTTTTATTCTAAAGATTTTGATTGTTTGATTGCTCATGGTGCAGTATATACAGTTTTCACTCTTATTTACCATCTTTCTTCATCTGTTGTTCTTTAGAATCATACGATATGCACACAGTAATATCTCTGTATAGTTGATTTGATTGATTTGTTTTGAATGACTGACGGTTCACGAATCGTGTGATTCAGGCAGAAGTGCTGGTGATGTTTCAGTGTCAGTTCTTCTGGAAGTTTCCGTCTCTTCTCCTCTGCTTATGTCTGCTGTTTTTCTATGTTGATTTCTTTCTTCTTGTCATCTTTTGTCATCGGTGGCAGTCAACGTGAGGGAGCGCGGTAAATACACGCTTCAGATTCTCCTGTCTGTCTGTCTGTCTGAGTGCAGTGCATGTGTCATGTGACAGGAAGTGAAGTCCACTGACGTCTGCTGGTTCCTTCTTTCTGTCCGTTTCTCTCTCTCTATTTCTCGCTCGTCTTCCTGTCCTTAATAAGTGCTTACTGTGCAATTGATGCTAAATTCACACGACTAACGAATGAAGCCCTTCAGTGTTTAGTAGGAAGTTTCGCTGATTTTGTTTTAAAAAGGCACATTACTGTAAACGAACTGCAGTTTGTGAGTAGATGACAAGCTAATTATTAAATAAATCCTAAAAGTGTACAATTAAAATAAATAATTTTAAATGAAAACAATCAAAACAAAACACCCACTAATAATTAAGAGATTCAACTGAATCATTTTCAAAATAAAACACGTACTAATTAAATGTCAAATTAAAATGAATATTTTTAAAAAAGGAAATCAGAATAAAACACTTACTAATAAGTAATAAAATGTCAAATTAAAATGAATAGTTTCGAAATAAAAACAGTCAAAATAAAAACACCTACTGATAATTAAATAAAAATGGTCATTTAAAATTAATAATTTAAAAATAAAGGAAATCGCAATAAAACACTTACTAATTAATTAAAAATATCCAATTAAAATGAAAAAAACGTAAGATAAAAGCAATCAAAATAAAACACCTACTAATTAAAAATGTCAAATGGGTAATTTAAAAATAAAAAAATCTAAATAAAATGCTCAATAATAATTAAATAAAAAGTCAAATAAAAAATAAATAATTTTCAAGTAAACAATTCAAATAAAACACATAATAATAATTAAACGAAAAATCTGATTAAAATGAATATTTTTAAAATAAAAACAATCAAAAAAACCCACCTAGCAATAATTCAATAAAGCGTCAAATTAAAATTACTCCTTTTAATGTGATATATTATTTAATTATTACTAGGCGTTTTATTTTTATTGTTAAATGAGCAATTTTATAATAAAATAAAATACAAAAAAAGATCCAATATTTTATTTGTCTACTTGCTTGTGATGTGGCCATTAACTGACATCAGAGAACCATAAACATGTTAATATGCTTAAAAGGTTAGTTCTTTAACAAAAATGGATCTTATAAATCGCTGATCATAAACACATGCTTTACAGTCTGACCGAGTAATTAATCATCACAAACTTTATTTGAAACCAGTGACAGAACGTTTAGATTTAGGTATTGTGAGCAGATCATTATTTACAGTCTGTGTTCTTCTGCTTGAGCTCAATGTGATGTAGTGAAATACTGAAGGAGAACGTGATCAGACAGCCTCCTCAAATACGATGTCAGGTGGATCAGAGCATGTCACGGTAGAAGAGTTAATTAACCCATTAACACTGAATGCTGATGAACGGCCAGTAGACAGAAGCTCTGTGGAAGTGTGGCTCTGTTAAAGCAGATCTTGTTGAAGGAATCTGAAATTTCTCTGTTTCCCTGAAGGCTCTAAAGTTCTTCAGAATGACGAGTTCACCAAAGATCTGTTCAGGTTCCTGCAGCTCCTGTGTGAGGGACACAATAACGGTAAGAAATCTGAATAACGGATCATCTGAACCACACAAACGCGTGAGCTTCTGCTCAAGTGACGCTCGTGTGTGTTTCAGACTTCCAGAACTTTCTCCGGACGCAGACCGGAAACACGACCACAGTCAATATAATCATCAGCACCGTGGACTATCTGCTCAGACTGCAGGTACACACACACACACACACACACACCTGTCTCTCTCTCTCTTTCTCTCTGTCACACACACACAACTCAACTCAAAACACCGTAACCACATAGGAAACCCTAGCAACCACTCCAAACACCATAACCGCATAGCAACACCCTAGCAACCACTCCAAACACCATAACCGCATAGCAACGCTCTAATAACCACTCAAAACACCATAACCACATAGCAAACCCTAGTAACCACTCAAAACTCCGTGACTACATAGCAACACCCTAGTAACCACTCAAAACACCATAACCACATAGCAACACCCTAGTAACCACTCCAAACACCATAACCACATTGCAACGCTCTAATAACCACTCAAAACACCGTAACCACGTAGCAAACCCTAGTAACTACTCAAAACTCTGTGACTACATAGCAACACCCTAGTAACCACTCAACACACCATAACCACATAGCAACGCCTTAGTAACCACTCAAAACACTGTAACCACATTGCATCGCCCAAGTAACCCCTCAAAGCACCATAACCACATAGCAACACCCTAGTAACCACTCCAAACACCATAACCACATTGCAATGCCCTAGTAACCACTCCAAACTCCGTAACTACATAGCAATGCCATAGTAACCACTCAAAACACCATAACCTCATAGCAACGCTCTAATAACCACTCAAAACACCGTAACCACATAGCAAACCCTAGTAACCACTCAAAACTCTGTGACTACATAGCAACACCCTAGTAACCACTCAAAACACCATAACCACATAGCAACGCCTTAGTAACCACTCAAAACACTGTAACCACATTGCATCGCCCAAGTAACCCCTCAAAGCACCATAACCACATAGCAACACCCTAGTAACCACTCCAAACACCATAACCACATTGCAATGCCCTAGTAACCACTCCAAACTCCGTAACTACATAGCAATGCCATAGTAACCACTCAAAACTCCGTAACTACATAGCAACGCCCTAGTAACCACTCAAAACACCATAACCTCATAGCAACGCTCTAATAACCACTCAAAACACCGTAACCACATAGCAAACCCTAGTAACCACTCAAAACTCTGTGACTACATAGCAACACCCTAGTAACCACTCAAAACACCATAACCACATAGCAAACCCTAGTAACCACTCAAAACTCCGTGACTAAATAGCAACACCCTAGTAACCACTCAAAACTCCGTGACCACATACCAACACCCTAGTAACCACTCAAAACTCCGTGACCACATACCAACACCCTAGTAACCACTCAAAACACTGTAACCACATAGCAAACCCTACTAACCACTCAAAACTCCGTGACTACATAGCAACACCCTAGTAACCACTCAAAACACTGTAACCACATAGCAAACCCTACTAACCACTCAAAACTCCGTGACTACATAGCAACACCCTAGTAACCACTCAAAACACTGTAACCACTTGAAACAACATAACCGCATAACAACGCCCTAGTAACTACTGAAAACACCATAACCGCATAGCATGTTAATGTTGTTCTGTATTATTAATCTTGTACACTGGGTAAACATTAATGTTGTCCTGAGTTTTGCAGGAGTCGATCAGTGACTTTTACTGGTATTACTCTGGTAAAGACGTGATGGACGAGGCGGGTCAGCGGAATTTCTCCAAAGCTCTCGCTGTAGCCAAACAGATCTTCAACTCGCTCACTGAATACATACAGGTAATATGGAGATGTTCATTTTGTCATATTGTCTACATGAAAGTTTTCTTGTGGTTTCTTATTTTAAAACACAACATTTAAAACATTTAGGTTTACTTTTATTTGACTGATTTTTTTTGTCAATTTATATATAT